TATTATTACAACCAATTGTACCAGTGATCGTTTTACTGTACTTGTTTGTTTAACTGTACCAAAGATATTCTTCCTTCCGTTGATTGTGACGTTGCACGATCTTGGCATTATTTTTATACCACGACATCGCCAACAAATATATCTCGTTACATTCTACTACCGCCTCCTGATTTCTGGTTTACCCGCAGGTTTAGCCTGTTCTGGTACGCCATCTACTTGTATTGGTGATCATAGTCAAAAACTACTCGACGCCACAATACGACTCTACGAAATTTAATTAAATTAAATGAATCCTAAAATTCGGTACAAAGATAATTGGTGAAGCAATGTGGACTTGAATATTGTCCTATTACAATCATTTCTTATACCAACCGTTTGACGTTTTTTGTTTGATAACGTTTGTACGGAACTTATATGAAAACACGTTAACTAGCTGCTGTCACCATTCGTTTGTATATAAGAAAACGTCTATTGTTCGCATTTCCATTACCAGCCAGTAAACATCAGTCTATTAAACAGAAAGATATTGCCTTACAATAACTTACACTATTCGTCTTTATATCGAAATGTAAAGCTTGTAGTCACATTGAACTTTCAACGTGTCGCACAAGGATGTAGGAGGCAATGTGTTGAGTTTGAATACTAAAGATTTCAGTGTTACCAGATTCCACCTTAACAACCGATATTGTAGAACATTCGATTGTTGTAAAGTGAACATATGTAGATGAAAGTGCATTACATTACAGCAATATAGCCAGACCAAGTATAGTAATGGGTTTCACTGTTGTAAGGACATGGATATTTCTGATAATCAGTCTAATGAGAACATAATTGCAGCGAACATTCTTACCTCAGGTGTTCGAATACTTTCTAAGGATCATACACGAGTTTGTTGCAACTGTGTTTGTAGTCTAGTGTGAATTCGCTTTACAATTATTAGGGGTAAAGTGTTTTGAACCGATGTGACTTTGTTTCAAGAACCTGTAATCACACACGACCTGTAATTGTGCATTGTGACATACTTTGTGAAATACATTTTATAGGAATATGTGAATTCTTTGACTGCCACAGAATAAAAATCCTAGATTGAATGGTTATCTTTACGTGGAATTGCTTTTTCTCGAAAGTGAAATTTTAAGATCTTTGTGTTAAGTATAACTAAAGGTCATGATGAAGTTTAGCTGACGTGCTTAATTGAAGAGTAATAGATATTATTGTGAACATGGAAATAAGAAGCCCAGACATACTACGAAAGCTGTTTATCGGGACGTCATTTCACTTTATTCAAACCTTATAAAACACTTATATCTATTTTTGACTTTATTTTCTTTTACAGAACATGAGCTTTTGTTCGATGTATCATTCATTGCCATACCCTTTTTTGTTCCGAAACCATTGTAATTTAAACATAATATTTTGCACCTTATTTTCTACCCAAATTCCCAGTATGGACTTAATTGTATTTTCCTAAATCATCGTACGTTGCAGTCAGGATATTCACTTATTTATTCATGTACCTTTTTGCACTAATCCGTATTCAGAATTAAGAGATTTCAGAGTGTTCCAACTGACTTGTCTTCTCTCACTTGCGTGCTTGCCAGCCAATCAGGTTCTAGAATAGTTCTCTCTCTACTCCATCTCGAACTCACGCGTAATAGCCTCAAGGTTGAACCGCTCAGCCTATTGCGCCAAGGTCATAATGTAGACTAGACAGATCTAGGTCAAGTCATAACAGAGTATCGACGGGGTAAAAGCGATTCAAGGTCATAACAACTGACGACGGAGATTATTTCTTTTCTATATTGATTGATCCAGAACAAAATGTCTGTATCATTGGATGACCTTAAAGCTATTCTACAAATCCAGCAAGCACAAAATGACGCAAATCAAACGAAGCTTTTGGATGCACTGGCTCGAATGCTCTCATTACATTCGTCCTCAACTTGTCAATCAGATAAGTATGAAAGCATTGTAAATTCTATTTCTGAATTCCATTATGATCCCGAAGCTCGTGTCATTTTCAATTCGCGGTTTCATCGTTGTGAAGACATTTTCCGAGTCGAATGCTCACATCTTGATGACGCAGCTAAAGTCCGCTTACTGTTAAGAATACCTCGAACACAAGAATACAGAAAATTTGTGAAATTTATCTTACGACAAAATCCACAAGATGCATCATTCAAAGACACAGTCCAGATTCTATCTGATATTTTCGACGAACAGTCCTCACTATTTAATACTCGTTATAAATGTTTCCAAATAACGAAATCTCCAGAGGACGATTTCCTCTCGTATGCTGGGAAAGTAAATCGAGAGTGCGAATGCTTCAAAATAAACGACATCACAGCGGACCAATATGTGGTCTAAAGAATGCAGAAGGTGTAGATGTCCGTACCAGGATGTTGGCATGCATTGAACAAGAACCGAATATGACATTACAAATGGTCACAACTGAAAGTCAGCGGTCACTAAATCTCAATCATGACACTGCGATGGTGCAAGAGAAGGTTAAACCTTCCGATTTTGGTTCAATTAATGCGCTCCGAACCTCTAAATCGTCGAAACAAAACACTACAAGCACGAAACAACCTTCTTCCGAACCTCAACCACCATGCTGGTTCTGCAGAGCATGGCATTTTGCGAAATGTTTTCTGCCTAAGAATCATAAATGCCGCCAATGTCATCGCATTGGCCACAGAGGAGGTCATTGTTCGTCAAACAGACGCAAGTCAAAAAATCGTAGTGAAAATTCGAAGCAACGACCACACAGTCGAATTAAAAGCACGTTTGTAACCTTCAAAGTTGGATTTAAAAGTAAGCGAAAATATGTAAATTTATTGGTAAATGAAAAACCCATACGCCTTCAACTGGACACTGCCTGCGATGTCACATTGATTTCCAAGAACACATGGCATAAGTTAGGCTGCCCAGACATCCGACCAACGGAACATGTCGCTCGAAATGATTTTGCAAAATTTTGTCCGTTTAAAAATCATAAATGCCTCCAATGTCATCCGATTGCGTGCTTAATATTTGTGCAAGAAATCTGGTATTTATATGGGTTACCAAGATGGTGCATTGATTGCAATGAATACAACCTCTGATTTTAAAAATGCAAACAATAATCTGGCAGACATTTGTCCATTTATAAATGCTCCTCATGGTCCTGTTACTTTGTCTTTCCATGCAAACTTAAGTCCTCGTCTAAGTCATTTTAGCCATTCCTAAACTGCATTTTTCGTGTAAACAATTGAAGCATACACGAAAACTACATTGTGGTTAACAGTCACTACATACTAGTGAAAATATCCAGTTGGTTACTCACTGGACTAAGCATGCCATTCACTTGTGGTTGGTTCGGGATCTCAAGTATTGAATATTCCTTCTGTACGCATTATGTAAAGCTAACGATTCTAAGTTTTAAATATGCTACATTTTGTCTAAATTTCCACAAACATTCATTTGCAGTGAAAATTAGGTGGAACTGTAATGTATTCATATTCAGTTGACAATTTTTATAAGCTGCCAACATTGATTCAATTTATGTGTTTATGAACTTGTTTATTGATTATTCAGAATCCACATGATAGTCAATGCATTCTTATACAAAAGTGAATTGTTGCAAGAAAAAAAATAAATTCAATCACTTTCCTTCTTTCACGTCTAACTAAATTCATAATATTGATCCACATGATTGATCCTATAGCAACCCACATGAGATTCAGTTTGTTCACATTTAATTTGGTTAAGTCATTTTGTTAACTTATTGACGAACTGAGTCATCCGTACAACAACAATTTATCTTTATCATTGTATCTTTATTATTGTTGCGAATGTATGAACATGTATGCTTGAGCATTGCTTACTGCCTATGCATTTATTCACGCTGCTAGCCTTACTACTAACCGCTTAATTGTTTCGATGACTCATTTACTTCACTATGTATATATATGTCCATGTTATTCATGTTAATTGCCCTCTCTTGCTTACTCGTACTCATATTAGCTGACTCACTCGATCACTCGCTCGCTCGCCTGCCTGCTTGCCTTTCTGCACAACTCATTCATGGTTGTTTCACGCACCGGCATTTTAGGATATATGTGTGTGTGGTTCCATAATAAACAAAATCAACACTCCGTATTCGCCTTCTGATTAATATACCGTTGAGGCGTTATCTAATGACGGTTATCAAGACGAACTGTATACGAAGTTTGAGAATTATATGGAATGCCGACCACCACAATCCCTTCAACTGTAACTAAATGAGATTGAGGGTTTGAAGCATGCTGTGCATTATTTGTATTGCGTGCCTACTGTTAGTGGGAGGATTTTGGTAGGCGCCGTATGTTTCACGACGGGTAACTGGTGTAATTTAGCAGGTGAGTGAGCACGTTAATGTGTTGTTAGGTCCCGATAATCATAATGAATGGTAACTTTGGGATCTAACTGTGGACCAATACTAAACGTATATTTATATCGTAGAATTCTTAAATAACTAAACTATTCATATTCACATTCCTCTTATTAAAAACTTTATTTTGACCTATGAACCATTATTATACGTTTAAGCATTCTTGAATTATGCCCTGTCTATCAGTCACTGCCTCCCACATTCACAGTCAAATTTGGCCAAATTTTGTACAAATTTTATTATATATTTTATGCTACGTTGTGGCCTTTTTGATTGATATATAAGCTCGGTATGTTTGAAATATAAGGATTCATATTGCTGAGGCTGAGACTGGTGTTCTGGACTTAACTGGCTAGACTAGGTGGAAAGCAGGACCAATCAGGACTCTAGGCTGCACGCACGTGTTTTACGCGTCCTTGGTCCGATCGATAATTCGCTGCTTCTGATTGGCGGCTTTGGGCTATAACACGTGTGTCCACCTGTCGAAGGATGAAAAAGTGGATTTCGTTTCGTGTGGTTGGATGATATATTCCGCTTCAGATAAATCGACCAGACTCTCCCTTCCAGATCACATTGACAGAATCTCTGGATGTGTACCACAATTCTTTTGTTTGTGGTTTGTAGAAGCGTCTTTATAATCACCTCAATGATTTTAGATGTTCTTGTTACGGATATCTGTTCGAATAACGTTTAGCAATTCGTCTGTCTGCAACAAAACCACAACGTATTTGTCAAGTGACTTAATTTGTATCAACCCACTTACCATTGATCTAATATGTGAGATTTTTGTTGATAGATCGAGCGGTTGCGCTAACTGTAGTACACTCATGGCTCTACAGAAGTTTAATAATAAAAACGAGTTATAGTTGTTTCGACCAAAAACAGACAGTTGGTATGCGAACACAGTGTTTTTCCTGCTAAATTTTAAAAATACACATAATTCCGAATGTTTAGTTGTTTTCTATTCAACTCCATTCCTACAATCCTTTTTCTATCGTTTTCTTCAACCTCATGAAATATACTTGCTTGGAAATTGACCTAAAAAAAGAGAACAAATCCAAGTTTTCATACATGAATAATTTACCCATTGCAAGTGACTCAACGACACTGATCATGAACGCAGTTTGCCCTGCTTCTCGCCCTCCCATTTCCATCTCCCTTTTCCAGCACGTGAAGTTTGACGTCCTTCACTCACTGGTTATGCATTTACCGTATTACTTACTACAAACAGCTGAGGACTATAAATGCATTCATTCCTGACCACCGACTGCTCGTCACGAGTAGACCTCACCAAAGTGCACCAACTCTCATATTTAACATAAGAGTCTCAGTGACATTGATTTTCCTATTTATGAAAATGTATTCGCCGTTTCTATAGTCATTATTTCTTATAATACATCAACACAATGGAGTAACTTAATAAATCAAAGCCTACAGTAATTGTAACAACTTGATCTTACCTGTAAACTAGCACGCCTCATGCAAAATATTGTTATCATAATGATACAGGATATCTTCAAAACAGGGTCAGTTGTGTTTTTCTCTGCTTTTTAATTTGAGGCATCAAATGCGTCCTCTCTCTCAAGGTGCAAGCTCGATATTCTTTTGTAAGCTTGAGTCCGAAGTAATTATTGTATGTATACGTAGTGACCGGACAAAATGAGGGATGAAACATTTAATTCAGTTAACGAGTGAGTGGAGACGGTGCGACCTAGCGGAACTTGAAAAAAGTCGATACGCAATTCGTCTGTCTGCAGTCTAGAAGGGAAAATATAGCTTCAGCGTAGCTATTATAGTTTTTGGTCTTGAATAAGATACGGCGTTCGCATATGCACAAATAACGTTTAATAAACTACAAGTATAAGTCGAGTGATATTTTACACTGTCTACAACTTCAATCACATGTCAGTGTAGTCAGTTTATTGGTTGTAAAGACTGAAAATAAAACAAATATACACATACTGCATGCACAACATAATGAGTTGGACGATTATTCACGCATTTAAAACGACCACGAAAAATTTCGATTTGAAAAAGACACGGAATAACGAAGTGCTTGAAAAATAAACCGTTTAAGTTTGAGGAAGGAAGATGACATATATTAAATGAAGATGAGTTGATAGTGTCAACCGGTTAAACCGAAACAGTATATAAATGAGACTGCTTGAATGTCGAACCACGATTCACGACTTCTGTCCTGTCAGCATGTGGCCTCCATTCAGATGAACTGAAGTAACAGTTAACATATTTATGAGTTGGATCGTTCCTCGTCCAAATGATTACATTAAGCATCAGCAATAAACGCAAAATGGTGTGAGGAAAACAGCACTCACCTCGATGCGTAATTGCATGCGGTGAATTCTTGGGCATAAATTTTAAAATGCTTACAGTGACGATATGCACATCTTGCGTGTACAGTATTTTCGTGAGCGATCTGAAAGTGATTAGTGGATATCTTTCTTCGCAGATGTTTATGTCAATAATGGATAGAGACATTTGTCAACAATCCTCGTTAAAATACAATTGCTGACATATATTCTTATAATTACCACGTGCCATGCCGGGTTTGCACTTGTTCAAATCATGTCCGCAATTGCTGTTCTTCAATAAAAAATAGTACAACAGAATCAGTAGAGAAGTTTTAGCTTCTATATGAAAACGTACTGCTGGACACTAGCATTTCTGAGATTGTCATGATACTTTGACTAACCGATTTCCATCTTCCAACCTTGTTTCCTCTGAAATTTGCGGTTTTATGATTGCGCTGCTTCTCCTAGTTCTTATCATGACCCTACAATTCATCATCCCATTTCCATTGGAAATTGTAATTCGAAAACAAGAGTGAAACAAAATAAAATTCACAATAATTTCGATATTCACGATATGAGTTATACAAATAGAGGAATTCGTTCCTCCCAACCGATGTTGGGCACAGAGCAACGTTTGTTGGTACAGTCAGTGTGAATATTGTTCATATAACGATTATGGTTTTGTCGTGCATCATAAATGTATCACAATATTTGAACATGATCATCCATTGCTCTTAAATGAATGTGTGACCATTGATTGGTGTCCCTAGAAAGTATTTATAAACAATCGAAAGAATGTGTTAATCAAGATTCATTCGTATTTGGTTTAGTGTTTAGCAAAGTTCACATCGTGATTCCAATGTCTACTATGTTGCAAGAACGTGAAAGTGATGGTCAATTTCCACTAACACATATCCTACACAATCTTGTTTGTTTACAGGAACAGCGACAGATGTACTAAACTGTTCATGAATGATCTTATTCGCCACAGATTTCTTTCACACAGATGTTTGTTAACAAGGATATATTTGTGAATAATTTGTAAGAAATGAGTTTAACATGATGCAGCATTATTTATTTGAGATTATTAGTACTGATTACATTGTCAATAAAATAACGAAACAATTGATCTGATGCTTCACTTCTCTTCCACTTCCTCCTTCTACTTCCTCGAATCATCCACCTTATTCGGATTTTTGCATCTTCCGTACCTTCCGTCAGCGTACGGTTGACCACTTCTCACCCTGAAATAGAAACAATAGAAACGGAGAAATTCTTTTGGATGTGAGACAGAGTTCTGTGCAAAAGCGACAAAAGTGTCGAATATCCACATTTGAAATACGTGGTAGATTTAGGGAACCAGCTGAATATAAACATGAAGTGAATCACACTGAAGCACACTGATAAAAACACATCATCGAAATGCTTTAATACCACTGAAGCTCAATGTAAATGAAATCACAAAATCGGGATTATGCTTAATTATGTGATGGAAAACTTTGTGCATTGACGGATGGAAATTATGAAGACTTACGCAGGTGAGTAGAAACAAGTAATCAACTTTTCGTTAAGATAACCAACGCCTTCACATGTGCTATAGCCACATCCAACGTAAGCCGTTTCTGCTTGAACTATCTAGATGTATTTGAGAGAAAAGAAGTGATGAAACTTCGTTCAGTGAATGATAATGAAGTTTGAGATTTCGTTCAGTCACATGATTCGTGTATTCACATACCTGCTTGTAACTGTCGCATTGATGCGGTATGTCACATTGGTCTGATTTGTGGTCATAGCGGTCCGATTCCTTCATCCAATAAGTAACAGCTCTACAATAAGCACGATCATAACAATCTTACACTCGGTAAACCTACTCTGCCAGCTCGGAGCTAACAGCAGTGTTTCGACCCACGGAGTCAAATTTACCAACACTTCCGATCGGTTTCTTGTCATGAACATCACATTTTTCAGACCAAATTTGAGCGGCAGACGCCAGTTCATCGTTCCACTCCTCATAAAAGAATAAAAATCATAGAAAAATAATTATCGTGTGCTCGTGAACAATGTGAGGAAACGCGCTTGGATTGAAGTCCGAAGCGCAAGACCTTCACATCATCTCAAACTTACAAGAGGCCGTAATAATTCCTCCGCTGGCACTATGTCTGTTTGATCGCATTTTTTTCGGTATCCTCGATGTTCATTGTGTACTTCCAGCATGAGTTTTGCCTCCTTTGCTTCCAATCCAAAGACAGTTTCCACGAAGCAAACGGCAAGTAGTAGTGTGGGCACCATTCTCTGGTATCTAGTTTAAGTCGAAGACGCAGTCATATTTATACCTTTGATCATTTGAATATTGTCCTCACATGTGAATTTTGCATCATCACGCCCGATTTCTCTCACACAACCAGAGTACATCTCGGTTGTCCTCAGAAATTTCTCACTCAGGTCTCAACCATGAATTGTACTTCATTGTATTTGGACTTTATTTCATAAATAAATACCTCTTTAATTGTTCATTGACACGGCTGACGCTGCAGACACCATATACGCTGAGATCTGTGACTGAAATGAACAGATTATCGTAAATATTGGTATAAAGCTCCAGATAAATATCGTGTTCTGATCTCCATAGTTTCTAAATTGGCAGGTTTTTTGAATGGGTCGATTATAAGAGGGATAGATTGGGAGAGAGCAAAATACCATCTTATGGTTACTGCTTTCAAATTCATCGTGTACTTTTATAGATAGTGGGATAACATCTCTACTAAATATTAGATCGAGTATACTATCACCCCATGTTGGCGTAAGAGCCAACCGTGAACAGTAGCGCATGTTAATGGTTACCGAGAACTCATTATTATATGACTGAAAATTACCGGTACTCCAGTTAGTCTGAGGATAATTGAAATCCACAGTGATTAGCTTAGCATTAAAGTTGAGAGCAGATGCATGTGTGAATGCATTGATAATAGGGTCGTTCCCATTATTCGAACTATCTGAAGCTCTGTATATACGTCCAACGAGTAAACTATGATTCAGGGTGTTGACTGATATACAGACTGATTCTGATAAACTATTCAGGACACTATCTTCAAATTTATTAGCTGTTAGGGTATCCAAAGCATGTATAACACAACCACCTCCTCGCTTAGTTGCTCTGTCACAGCGATAGAGTCGATAGTTCTGGATATTTATTAAGAGTGACTATTTAAAAAATGAACCTCCACCATATATTAATTGCCTATTTAGGAAAAATTATTACTTCATCTACGGTTGGTTCACCTGAATTTTACATACTGCAAAAAGTAATTTATCATGATGACTTATTGATATGTTGATTTCTTTTTCTCATTAATCGACCATGTGTTACAAAAAACGTATGCACAAACTTTGGTGTTAATTTCATTATTATTTTAGTATTCAACATTTGACTACCGACCTAATTCAGTAATCATTATTATCAAATATTCAAACCGGTTTTTAGTTACTTAATTCCAAAACTTTCTTTTTATGTGATACATATAAGTATTCGTGGCAAGATAGCTAACGACTTTAATTAA